GACAATCATTCGGGCTTCCATAAACGCGTTCCAAGTGTGCGAATTGATAGAGGCAGACCATTACGTTGGACTGACCGTACACACCGTTGACCACGTCCCGTCAGTCGGTATTGCACTAATCCACAAGCTCGTACCACTCTTCTCCAGTTCTTGCAAAAGCGAGCGAAAATCCTGGCCGCCTCCAGCAGTAGTGCTCTCGCTTACTTCGTCACATTCCCCTCCACCCAGTTTTTCAACATATCTCCGGTTACTAGTAGCACTAGATCGCTGACTCGAACGTTGAGGCAATTACTGCCACCACTGAACGCTGGTAGATGGTCCGTGAGAAAGGCCCGGGGACTACCGGCCGACATACTCGGCCAGTCCGAGAAGAGCACAACGTTAGAGGTCACTTCTGATGGAGTGCTGCTTCCTGAGCACTGGTTCGAGCTGGGTGTCGTTGTAGGACCAGTCGGGGGTGGGGGCTGAGTGGGAGTAAACCCCCCACCAGTAGGGCTAGGGGGCCTTATGTTGGGTGGCGACCGACTACCACATCCTGGGATAGTTGAGATCACCACAAGGATGCAGAAGGCAGCTACCGCGCAGCTCCTGGAAAAATGCCGAAACATTATACACGATTAACTTACTGTGAAACACAGTGAATTCGGACAAGATCATATCCCGAACTCTTATACTCAACGAAACAAAAGTGCGAACGACTTGAAGAGAATTCACGGCGGAGTGAGGCAGTAGCCACCACCGATATAGCGTGACATGCTCGGCATAAATTGACCCGTCGCCATCTTCTTTTGCCCTGCACTAGACTTCTCAGTCTTCCCTCTGGGAGCCTCCTTCTGACTCGACTGCTTCTTCTGCTCATAGTACTTCCGCATGATCTCTTGCCTCTCCTTCTTCAATCGTCCTATCTCTGCCTGGTACCTGCCCGCGAGTACCCATTTCTTAATTCCACCCTAGGCTCACTCGTCAATGATCTGTTTGTAGTCTGCCAACTCCGCATTCATCGTCGCTAACTGATCGTTCCTCTCTCGCAGATGCTCCTCATGGATTCTCAACTGCTCTTGCAACTCAGGACCTGCTAACGCTGCATTTTTCTCCATCCTCTTAGGTATAGAATATGCACATGGCCAACCACATGATGACGATGAGTAAATTCGGGCAATTTTTGTTGGTTCATTGCGCACTTCTTTCCCAAGTCGTGAGTGAAATTTCATAATCAACATGGGAACTTGCTAGTCTCAGCTGATAAAAGCAAACATGGATTCAAAGCACCGCTCCAGATGAACTAGATGATAAAAACTACCAGAAAAAATAACAGCAAGTATTGTCAGTAACATGATGACCCTCAGAGACCCTCACTATACCCACCCGGTATTCTCTCCAACCTTCGTTCCAATTTCTTGATCTCCTCCTCCTCCTTCTTCACGGCCTCCCTCTTACCCACAACCTCCTCACTTCCTATTGCCACACCCTAGACCAGTGCCCAGCCGATCCTAGGACCCTACTGGAGATGAGCCTTCGTTGCAGACTGTGTACTTTCTCCAGCTTCTTGAACAATTCAGGATTCGACTCCTCCAAATTCCTCCAACGATGTAGCTAAGAAGCACTTCTTTTCCTCTTCATAGCCCCACATGGCTACATTCATATGATGCCCGAGCTCCTTAGTGAGAGCCTCCGCCTTGGCACGCTCGGCCAGTAGCTGTTGTTGTAGTTGATATACCTCGTGCTTGTATCTCATCAGAGAACAAGTCGACTCTAGTGGGGACAACAGGCAACAGTACTCATCCTTATTCCCTATTCTAGTACGAAGCCCAGCTAGCTGAGCTTGTAGTTTATTGAGCTCCTCCTTCTTCTGCTTTACCTCTTCACAGATTTCTCTATACCGATCTTCACCGTCCACCAGTGCAGACTAGCACGAGTACTTCCCGTGGCCCCCAGGGGCCGACCCACCTCGCAAAGTGAGATTTTCTCCCGCACATTATCCTGATCGTCCTTCTTCCGACCCAGACTAGCGCAAAGCACCTTCTTGTCCCCAGCCACTCTGATGGAACTCATTTTATGCTTATGAATTTCCTCCAAAGTCACAGTCCTCGCTTTTTCTATTTTCGCCATTTCTTCGCGGTAAACCTACAACATCCCTTCCCGCGCACCGATGAGATAACCGAGAGTACGTCAGCGACACTTCCGAGATTTCTCAGCCTCTTCTTAGCTTTCTCAAGAGAGCCTTTCAACCGCTCCACCGTCTGAGTCTTCTCTTGCGTCATCAGATGCTTTTGAATAAGCTCCTGATCTTTTTCCCCGACCTCCTCCCGGAGCTGCTCAGTGCGGCTCTCCAAACCTCAAAAAACGCCCATATCGGCAATCTGCTAAGAATCGTTTCTCACTTGCGAACTTCCTCTTTATATCATCGATTTCCTTATGAGCGTCAAATAGGTTTTTACAGTACCTACGGTTCTTCCTCGTCCTCGGTTCACCACACCCAGTGACCGCCCTACAGATTCCTATCAGCTCTCACTGCCTCGAATTCGTTCTTTTGCTGCATATATTCAGTACGAGCCGCGATGATCTCCTCCTTCAGAGATGCCAAATTCCTATCTCGAGCTCGAATCGTTTTCAGTACACCCAGATACCTTCTAGTCAAACTCTTGCTGTTACCAGCAGGACGAGCTCACCGATCGTTAGCCTCCTTCAACTGCCGGATGAACCGGTCTCTTTGGGCCAACAGCTCGTGCACCCTAACAATGGAGTAGTCGTTATATGGAATCGAAACAGGAATAATTTACTCTTCCTTGCTCTCAGCCTTCGCCTGCCGCCATTGCTGGAGTTCCCGTAACAAGTTATTCGATCTTTGCTCGTTCTCCTTTACCTTAGTGCGAACGTGGCATCTTTGTAGAGTCTCTCAAACAACTTGAGGAAATCTCAAAAGATGTCGATCGAAACAAATCATCCGTGGATATTCAGATTATGATAGCAATAGAGACCCGTAAGACCCCATTCCCGAGTGGTGACCCTCCTCTGCTGAACCCGACACAACCTACCAGTGCTATCTCAATCCCCTTGCGATCTCCCGCCTTCTGCATGGCCTTGTATAGGAGCTCACTAGCCCGGGTTAGATCTGAGAGTACCTAGCAAAGCCCGACACGAGGCAGATAGATCAACTGCTGCTGACTACTTTCGCATCTGCCTCTTCCTTACGGCGAACCTTATCCACCTTATCCGCTAGTTCCTCGACCATCTTGGTCGCCGCCTTGTTCTCCTTCAACAGCTCAGCTCGTTCTTCATCCCCCTTCTACAGGAGACTCCCATAACGGCGTTTAGTCAGTCTACCTCCTTATCAGCACTGAGCTCCCTATAAATGTCCTCGGTCTTTTCTCTAGCTCGCTCTGCCTCCTTCACTCTCTTCTTCTGCTTCTCCAATTGCTCCTACGAGGAACCTCTCTACCAGTACTGCGAGTCGACCCCTACCGTGAGCTCATCGATTTCCATTTCAATTCTCTGCCTTCGCTTAACCTCGCTCGCGCTCTGGTCCCGAATCCGCTTGACCTCCTCCTGCAGGCCTTTCTAAGCAACAACACTATGATGCAATTCCATAATGCATACCCAAGTTCACCTGTATAGTTTTCTGATGAGCAATTTCTCTTGAACAAACTTTGAGGTCTCGTAGGACCTTCTTATGCCTACAGTAAAATAGCCGTACATCCCTAACTAGCTGCCCACTCTACGTCTCCTGAACTTCGGATATTTTCTCCAACGTTTCCATCGATTCTGAAAAGAACTCCTATCAAAATGCACCAAGTTTCCCATGATCACCGTTCCCAATATCTCCTAGAGTCCTCCTGTGGCGCCTCAAGTCCTCATCCAACTGTTTCCTCTTACTAATGTTGTCATCCACCTTCACCAGGCACTCACTGAGCATCTCTAACAAGCTACTGTATACACGACGTGCTGATGACTATCTACGCCCTACTCTCGAACGCCGCGTGATCCTCCTCCTTCTTATCACAGTCCGCCTTCAAAATTCGCCGAGCCTGAGCGAACCCACCTAGTGATAACCCACGGCCCATCTTTTCAACTAAGTCGATTTGAGACCAATCCAGTTCAATTCCCTAGTCGATTAAACTGCCGATCCTGAAAGTGTGCCGATTTTCGATTCAATTCAACAGACCAGTCTATGAAGGGCGGCCAGAATGTCTACTCCCAAGCATTGGGATTTGCTCTACCCTTTCCAACCGCGAAGTCTCGGTCTGTAATTGTTTTATATCTGCTGCAAGAATCTCCTTCTGGCTGACCAACTCAAGCTTCTGGTCAATAAGGCTCTCCTCCTCCGCCTCATCAGCGGCCGCTTTCTCCTCACTCTGTTCCACGAGGGTCGATACGTTAGCCACCTCCGCCTGGTCGGTGTGGCATCAACCAGAGTTGGAGTTGGGCACAAAGCTACCGTCAAATCCTCAATGAGGGCCTTCGTGACTATCTCCTTATCTCGACTATCCTCAATCCGCTTCCAGGCCCTATCGATCTCCTTTCTCAGCGCTTTGATCGCAGCCTGATCCTCTTGCGATTGGCTCAACGCTCGCTGGACCTGCCGAAAGAAAATCTCCTTCAGAGAGGCTTGTAGAGGAAGAGAGCTTACACTTTGGGCATGGCCAACGATCTCTTTGCTGATCTCTCGACACTTGCTAATGAGTAACTTCTCCGAGTCGTGGGACTGCTTGAGCGTATTGTGCAGCCTCTCGTACCTGACCATCGCATTGAAGTAGACTGTGGTACAAATTCTTAAGGAAACAAATTGCCATGAATTTGAACACGTACTGTTCCTTGAAGTCCTCTAGAGTGTCATCTTCTAATAGTTCCGCCACCACCCGCTGAAAATCCCTTTCGAGCGCCTCATACGCTGAAGTCTCGAAAGCCTGGATTTCCTCCACACTAGCCGGGCCCCCTTGGTGCTGCTGATGAACTTGGAGCTGCTGAGGCTCCTTTCCCTCATCGAACGAAGCCTCTGAGTCCGAGGGCAGGGACATGGGGAAGAGAAAACTGTCAGACGATATACACTATTAAGTAGTAAGGGTAAGATTCCTTTTCTATATGCTATCCCAGACTCGGAGAGTCTCTCCGTACTTTGCACCTTGTGCACGACTAATCACTCGTTATTCCCCAAGCTGGTCCTGCACTCAGTGGCCATATAAGAGGGAGTAACGCGACACGAAGACTATAGATAGGGCTGTTAAAAATGCAGCTACGAACATTGTGACAGTGACGGTGTGGTGTTGACAAGAAGAACCTCACTCGAGAACACCCAAGAGGACCTCCAGACCCATTCCGTATACAGGTATCTAGGATACATCCTAGTCGTGGTCGATACTAGCATCACTACTATGTTGAAACTGAGTCCTACGGGATCATATCAGAGCTATTCGACAAACTGATAAGATGACCAATGCGGTCTGCGGGTCTCGAGGGCAAAAATAATCAGCACTGTATTGTGCCCACTACTGAGTCCACCATCATGCCAAGGCCCCACGCTGCTACTGCTGGAAGCAATCGACTGGATACCATTGTACAGTACTTGAAACAAGTCTATCAAGGGGGATGCTACCAATACCATAACAAACCGAACACATCTACAATACTAGGGAAACGGGGTTTAAGGAACGGATAGTGAATGAGTTGTCTTTCATTGCCAGGAGCTACAGAAGCCAACGCCTCGCCCGTTGGCGGGTTGAGACGGCGATTCGCATGGAATACACTGACAAGCGGCCAAAAGGAACACACACATATATATAATAATACACGAAGTGAATTGTTTTACTGTCGATCATTACTTGATCATTGTGCAAGATGATGATATGAGTGGTATGTCATTAACCTCAACTGAGGTAACTGTCAGGGAAGACTCCCATACCCATTGTCGGGGTCATCTGCAACTCGCAAGCCCCATAGTATCCGGGGGTCCTTTGCAAAGCGCAAGT